AGTTCAGGTTCGGTGGATAAAGAAGGGAGGGAGGATTATCAGATTTTCAATGAGAACACAAAAAGTTTGCTTCATGCATATATTATCAGGATCATACAAGATTAGTCTCAGCTGTAGTTCCTCTGGAGTCCCCTTCTACAAGTGAAAGGATTTATGAGGCGATGCATCATCACAACCTTATCACTGAAATGTTGGTTAAACAGCAGAGTCTGTCTCTGCTGCCTAAGAGAGACATTCCTGTGTCTTAAGGTGATCTACTCGTATATAAATATTTCCTAAGAGCCTTTGACAATGCTGTTGACAGCAACACATAGAATGATAAGGATAAGCTCTTCCTTCTGGAGAGAATACAAATGGAGAGCCACAAGATCTGGTGAGAAGTTGTGAACACATGGTTCCTGAGAAAGGATACAGAGATAAGCAACCATAAGCAATACAGAGACAATTTGAAAATAGCTATGGTGTACATTCAAAAAAACTTTAAAATGGCAACAGATAAAGACAGATGTCAAATGCTTAAATGCTTATTCTCTATTCGTGATTGGCTGCCGAAAAACAATGCAAGATGACAACAACATGGAAGAGATGGATAACCCAACAAATATGAGAGCTATTTTGTCCAAATTGCTGTATAGATGAGGGAGAAGTGTCGTAATGTAGCATTTGAACTGCAAGAGGGCAAAGGAAGAAGAGCAAGTTTCTCAGATTTAGCACATTACATTGAAAGACAGGCAAAGATCCTTTTAGATCCTTTGTTTTGTGACCTCCATGATTTCAATCCATCTCTAACACAAAGAGAAAGATGCAGTCTTGTAAAAAAAAAAAGTAAGGGAGAGCAGCACAAGACAAAGTAGTTTTGCTACAAGTGTTGACACATGCAAACAGAAATTTTCAAAATCAAACCACACCACAAAGACAGAAAACAGCAAAGTATGTCAGGAAAGCTGTTTGTATTGTAAAAACAATCACAATCTGGACAACTGTAAAAAGCTCCGGAAGCGAGCTCAAAAGGAAAATATAGAATATTTGAAATTCAAGGGTTGTTCATGTTTGTGCTTTGGATGCCTCATTTCAGGCCATTTAAATATGGATTGTACAAGAAGACTGACATGGAATTTGTTCAAAGAAACATCCAAGTATCCTACATGTTCAAGAGGAAGAGAAGACATCATATTAAAATGACAACCACAGCACATCTGAAACTCAAACTATTACTGCTGTGGGGCCGAAGACATGTGGATACACTGGGGCCAGAAGCAAAGAAGGAGTATTAGCAATTGTTCCTGTAAAGCTTAAGTCCAAAAAAGTACCTAGATAATAGAGACATATGCCTTCATTGACCCTGGTAGTTCAGCAACCTTTTGCACAGAGAAGTTTATGAAAGCACTTAACTTAAGAGGCAGAAAGATGGAAATTTTGCTCCGCACAATGGGACGGGAAAGGCTTGTCCATACTCACATCCTGTCAGACTTGGAAGTCATTTGATTTGAAGAGGAG